CTGGTTCAGACGGTTTCCCCAGTGAATTTTACAAATTCTTTGGAGAGATATTTCACTTTACCTTTTAATGAGTCTAAATGAATCTTATGAAAAGGGAGAATTAAGTACAACACAGAAACAGGCCATTATAACTTGTCTGCTAAACCAAACAAGAACAGATTCTTTTTGAAAAACTGGAGTCCGATATATTTACTGAACACTGATTATAAGATTGGCTCAGCGTGTTTGGCAAATAGAATGAAATTAATATTACCATCAATTATTAATGAGAACCAAAAGGGATTTATGAAGGGCAGAAGCATCAGTGATAATACCAGACTAATTTATGATGTGCTGTTTCTTGCAAACCAACAAAACATTCCCTGCATGTTACTTCTCTTAGACTTTGAAAAGGCTTTTGATAGTCTAGAATGGGATGTTATTCAAAAAGCAAGGATCAGTTTTATTTTCGGGCCAACTTTTCGTAAATGGGTATCCACTATATATGCTAATGTTACCAGCTGTGTAATTAATAATGGACGTTTTACTGACTTTTTTTCAAGTTCATAGAGGAGTCGGACAAGGTGCTCCATTGTCACCATACCTATTTATTCTTGCCATTGAAACTTTAGCAATCTACCTTAGAAATAACGAAAAAGTAAAAGGGATTATCCTGTTAAAAATGAATATTTGCTTGGGCAATATGCAGATGATGCTTTATTATTTTTAGATGGAACTGAATGGTCCCTGAGGGAAGTGCTCAATACCTTAGATAAGTTCTCTATCTGTTCAGGACTTCGCCCTAATTATGAAAAAAACTAGTGTTATTTGGATAGGGAGTAAACGACATTGCCTCGATGAGTTTTTAACAGACAGAGGTTTGAATTGGACAGACAATCCATTTCAAGTACTGGGGGTCACATTTGATGTGAATCTAAATCTACTGTGTGACCTTAATTATATTCCCGACCTTAATTATATTCCCGCTATCAATGATATTAAAAGGTTGTTTAAGTCATGGGAAAAGAGGCACTTGACACTCATAGGAAAAGTTACAGTGGTAAAAAACATTAGCAATTTCAAAACTGGTTCATTTGTTGACAGTTCTTCCAAACATGCCGGCTAATATCATCAAAGACCTGGAAAAAATAATTTACAATTTTATTTGGATATGATAAAATTAATAGAAAAAGAATGTGCCTAGAATACAAAAAGGGTGGCTTGAAATTGACCCATTTATTATCATTTATGAAATCTATGAAATCATCCTGGATTTATAAACTACTCAGTGATGACTTTTATATATGGAAACAACTATTTAATAGTCAACTAAAATTTAAACATCACTTACTCAAGCGTATGGGGGAAGAACAAATACGTTATATTAGACATACAGTATTGAGTGATAATCCATTTTGGAAAGATGTATTTACTGTATGGGAAGAAATTTGTATTACCAAAACAGAAGCAGATTATATTGTTAATCA